AGGGAGGTGCCGAGGAGAGAGATAGTGGGGAAAGAGGCGAGGCGAGCTGCGAGGAGTGTGGCGGCCGGGAGTTCAGGCCCGAGAGGGTCAGTGGGAAGCAGATGCTTCTGTGCGTGGGGTGTCGGGCGCCGGTTGTTATGGAGTGATTATGAGCTCCTCGTGCTCTTGACTTCCCCTCTATTGTTGGCTGTTTATGGCGCCGGGGGCGGGGGGGGGGGTACTGGAAGAGTGGGTGGTTCTATGTTGTTTTTTGTTTCATACGCTGCATATGCATAGCCAGCGGGCGTTTGGAATAGTATTGAAGACTAATACCATCCATCATACATAAGGGTGGATTCGAATAATACACGACAGTTCTCTCTATTATGGTCCTCCGTTCTTGCTTTCCTGTATGGTTTAACAGCTGCTGCTATTTCCTCCACCTAATCCTCAAGCGTAGAAACGGTAGGATCCCAGCAGACAGGCGAGTACTCCTCCGTCTCCAACGCCTTCACCTCCTCCTCCGTAAGCTCGAACCCGTACAGCTCCGCGTTCTTCAGGATCCTCTCGTGCGTCACGCTCTTCGGCAGCGGCACCAGCCCCTTCTGCAGACTCCACCTCAGCAGCACCTGGGCCTCGGTGACGCCGTACTTCGCCGCGACATCCACGACCGCCTTCTCACCCCACCTCTCGCCCCTGACGATGGGGCTGTACGCCTCGACCGCCACGCCCCGCGCCTTGCACCAGTCCACGATGTCGTTCCTGGGCAGCCAGGGGTGAATCTCCCACTGGCCGACGCTCAGCACGCCCCCCTTCCCCTTACCGCCTCGCTCCGCCTCCAGCTCAGCGATGTGCTTCTCCAGCTCGTCGAGGTGGTGGACGCCGTAGTTGCTCACGCCGATGGAGCGGACCTTGCCCTCCTCGACGGCCTCGACGAGGGCCTTCCAGGCGCCCTTGCGGCCGGCGGAGCCGCCGTAGGGGGCGTGGATGAGCATCAGGTCGATGTAGTCCAGCCCCGTCTCCTTGAGGGTGGTGGCGACCTGGTCCCGGGCCTTCTCGTAGGAGAGGTTGCGGGCGGGGACCTTGGAGGTGAAGAAGATGGAGGAGCGGGGGAGGGGGGAGGAGAGGATGGCGGCGCCGCAGCCGGCTTCGTTCTTGTAGGCGGCGGCGGAGTCGATCTGGTTTTAAAGAGTTATTTGTCTGGGAGGTGGAAAGAGGAGGGGAAAGGGGGGGGGACTGACGTGGCGGTATCCGTTGGTCAGGGCGTCGGTTACGACATCCTTGGCTGTATCAGCCGGCCTGGGAGAACGGGTGTCAGTAAGTCAACGCGGGTAGCGGCGTGGCTATGTTCTCTTCCTCACGTTTGCCAGACCTGCGAGCATGTTAGTAACGAGGCCGAAACAGTGAACGGGGAAGGGAAGGGAAGGAAGGATGGCGCGTACACCAAAGCCGAGGCGGGGTAGCTCATGCCCGCTGTTGAGCTTGATGGTAGATTCCAGAGTCAACGCCATATTTTTTTTTCAAGTAGTTGTGAGTTTTCGCTTCACTTTCAATCGTAAGGCGACGTGGTTTACGAGGTTTATCAAGGAAATGAAAAGAAAAGAAAGGACAATGACCTTCCGAACCTGCTCGAGGGGGTCTATTATATCTGGAGCTAGCTATCTCTCGACCGAGGTTTGAAAGCGGGGCTTATAAATCAATAGGGTGGATCGCGACTTCTACGCCCTCCCCGGCACCGGATGTGGAATGGTTCATGGTTGGTGATGGCGCGGGGGGGAAGGAGCTGTTGCCCCGGAGCGGCGCCTGCCTTTTCAGTAGTGGTGGAAAGGGGGGGGGGGGGGGTCGCAGATGTACCTAACCGCCCTTAAACCCGGGCCCGAACTGGCGATAAGACCGGATTTGGATTTATAACCTTGATGCACACTCGAACTTACGCCGGCTTCGCGGTCTTGTATGAAGGCGGGCCGCAGCTCATCCCGGACATCTGGACATCGGACATAAGGCCAAGGCGACTTTGCTTCGCAACGGCGAGCTGTTCGAAATCGTTTTGTCTCGGTCATGTTGACGTATCGACCCTGCCATATTCAAGTTTCCATCTCGCCCCTGTGTGTGTGACCCCGCATGCATGCATATGGATGACAGGCACTAAAAATCTACTTTTGACGACAGACCATTCTCGCCATATTCTTTTGCGTACGTCACCCCTTGCCGCCTACCAGAGTGATCGCCAAGTTGGTGGCAAAGAAAAAGAAAAAAAAACGGATAGAATTGGTATCGAGGTGCCGGCATTTAGGTTCCTACTACAAATTGTCGCACCTCCCTTCTTCCCCTGGCTGCTGGATTGCGTTCGCCGTACTAAAAGTGCTAGTAAGGGGGATTGGAGATCTGGTCCAGAATGACGTGATACATGATGCCAGTGGGCGGGGTGGGATGGTGGGGTTAACAGCACCATTTGCTGGGTTAGTGCTGGCGGGGTTATGTTCGTGTTAACGCCAGGGACCAGACCTAACTGCAACATTGAGAGGTCGGCGGTGTTTTACCTGCCTACCTATCTTCTGCCACCCTGAACACGGATTTGTATGAGCTTGAATGTCGATCGTGAGGGGGAGTTCTTTAGCACAATCCAGCTTATCTCCTCTTCGCTCGAAGCTTGAACTGATGGCCGAGAGTCATCACACGCAATATATGACGCCAGGGAGCAGGGAAATCGCTGGGATGGACATGGCTGGCTTGTTGCTGGCGTGACAGGGGCAAAGACTTACGTCTTCCAAGTGAGATGCTGGGGGCGGGGGGGAGCTTATATCTCTGAGGAACTTGGCCAGTCGTTGGTGGTATAGCTGGGTTTCATGGTAATACTGGCAGGGCGGTTGCCGTGGCTAGACATCATTTGTGGTGAAGCGATGGGTACTCTCGCCTACGTGAGAGAAAAGCGGAAGAGGCCGTTGGAACCCAGGGACCTGTCTCGACATGTCGGCGAAGGCATATTGTCAACACGGAGCCGAATACAGCTCCAGGGCGAATTAAACACACTCAAAAACAATCATTCCGCTATATATCCATTCCCTGAACACAACAAACCCCAGAATTTTTCATTACACGCTAATCGTCTTGAACGCGCTAAACTGCTCACCCGTCGCCACCAGGCTCCCCACGATCTGCGGGTGCCAGTGCACCTCCCTCACCTCGTTGTGGTAGTGCACGAACAGCAGCTGCGGCGGCACGTCTCCCACCCCACCCGTGTCCTTGCTCTCCTCGTCGTCCAGCTCCACCGCCAGGTCCCACAGCGTCACCGTGCTGTCCCCCGCCGCGACGGCCATGATGCTGTCGTCCGTCGGGTGCCATTCCAGGCTCGTGATCTGCTCCTTGTGGTAGTCGAAGCTCGCCAGCGGCGTCGGCTTCTGCCCGCCCTTCCACTGCCTCAGGTCCCACACCGCCCACACGCCGTCGTCCGCACCCGACGCGAGGAGGTGCGTCGTCTGCCGCGACCACGACATGACGTTCACGTCCGTCGCGCTCGCCTGGATCGTGATGGCCGGCTTACGCCCCTTGGACCGGATGTCCCACACCCGCACCGTCCCGTCGCTAGACGACGACGCGAAGACGGAGCTCTCAGAGGGCGACCACTGGAGCTCCTCCACGCTGCCCGTGTGGCCCCTGAAGGCCTTGGTGTCCGTCGAGAAGGTCCCGTTCGTGTGCGAGGTGAGGTAGATCAGCCCGTCGTTGTCGCCCGTCAGGAGCCGCGGCTCCGACGTGCGCGACCAGTCAATCGCGTACCCCTCGTTCCTGTGCGCGCGGACCGTGTAGGTGGGCTGGTTCTGGAGCGGCGTGACGACCGTTCCGGGGCTGTCGAAGGAGGTCAGGTGCGGCGTCACGTCGTGGATGAAGACGTCCGACGACTCCGTCATCGCCGCAGTGAGGGTCGAGGGGATCGTCGAAGAGGTCACCCCCGAGTCCTCGGGCGCCTGCCACGCCCGGATCCGGTTCGTCGTCGAGTTGATGGGTATCGACTTGGACTCAAGGATCGGGTCCGCGTCCTCGTCGTCCTCGCCGTCCTCGTCGTCCGAGTCCTCGTCGCGCTCCATCTTGCCGAGGCCCGAGAGCTTCATCACCATGATCTCGTTCTCGCGCGCCCGCGAGCCCTCCGCCTGCGTCCCGGCCACGGTGTACATCGTGGCGGGGTAGACTTTGCGGTCGGCGCCGAGGTGGTCGCGGACGATGTCGAAGGAGAGGCACGGCCAGGGCGTGCTGATGTTGTGGAGCATCTCGTACGTCGTCGGGTCGGGCGCGAGGATCTGGCCCTCTTCGAGCTTGTGGCGGCCGACGATGAATGTGCCCTTGTCGACGTTCATAGATTCTAAGGGGCGCGGAGGTGGTTAGCGTCCGCAGAGGCTCGGATTCATTGCAGGTGTGCGCGAGGTGATCTGGCGGGGATAGTCTAAATGCCGGGAGAGGTGTTACATACCCTTCTCTTCCGCTTCACGCTCGGCGTCCGGCCTCCCGTCGACGCCGGCCTCTATGATCTCGTCCTCACTCTCAAACTCGTCCTCGAACTCATCCTCGAACTCGCCCATCTCCTTGTCGGCTGCCGTATCGTCGATGTCCATCGCCTCGGGCCGCCCGCCGGCCTTGAGCGCCGCCTCCTCGCGGTCGTCGCCGGGTCTTTTCGACATGTTGGGGGTATATACTGTGCTCGTGGGTGTCGGTTCCGGGGGGAAGGTTGTATAGAATGGGAGGATAGGCGCTGGCGAACGACGACTGTTGGGTATTCGATCAGATCAGATCGGAGGGGTCAAGATAATGAATGTTAGGAGCGGGAGGAAAAAAAATAAAAATCGTGCCCCTCCATTTAGAGAGTGGGGCAGAAAGTTCAAAGGTGGATTTGATCCCTGATGGTGGGGTAAGTGGGTCCAACATGAAGCCACCGCCTGGGCTAATGTTCAAACCAGCTACTCCCTGTGCCTGCTTGCTTGGACTCGTTTCTAAGAGCAAAAAGTGTTTAGAAAAGGACAAAAAATAACAATAGGTCTCACCCGGGTTCGAACCGGGGCTATTTGGACATTTCCGGGTAGAAATTCTTTTTCAAAACCAAACGTACTAAACCACTATACTATGAGACCAATTCGGCTAGTGCGAGCTAGCGTCCGTACTGGCAACTATTAGCAAGTGTCAGGGAGGCGTCAAACTCTGGCACTTCCTTTCCAAGGCTTGCCTTTTTTGGGGGGGGACACGGAATGATAATCATCATCTAGGATCAGGGATCTCGCTTTCTTCTAGAAACGTAGTAGGGAGCTTACGTTCGCCTGGGAAACATGGAGTCTTGGCTTAGGTGTATGAGAAACACACGCATGATCTTCAACTTCGGATGGCAGCTAACTACGGCCCGGTTCGACCCACGCCTACGGAGGGCAAGATGATCTCATGTATTGTCTTCTGTCCCCCTGCACCTGTTTTATAAGATGCTAGCCCGTACCGGTGAGGAGAATTGGGTTGGAAGCATACTGGAATTCTAAACATAAGGTGTAGTCTGGATAAATAGCAGGAGAAACTTGGGTAAGGGACAGGAGCGATCCATGTAAGTGACCGGAGCAGCCTACGATGGTAGATCCGCACCCGCAAAACTAGCGCTTTTATCGTGCGGCATTATATCCTACGTACCAGCTCCCGTAATCCAACAATGATGTCGACTCCGGGAAATAACGAGAAGGATGCCCAGAGGGGCGAGATTGAAGAATGTTCCCTTATCTACGCCGTTGACGGTAAGTGTAAGTGGACTACCCTCGGCGAACCAGGGGTTGGGATGACCCTCCAACCACCGCGTTCGGTCCGTATGCGCAAGCGCCCCGGAAAGCGCCCCTCCGTCACTATCAAGCCCGTGGTTCCCGCGGGAGTATGACCCTACTAGTCCGATCATGCCCCTCATATATGACGGCCGGCGCTCCATCAATCACACATCATGTTATACGTTCGTACTTGGGTATCGGCGAGCAAAGACAGGCCAGGGGAGATACTCGCGTCGCAGCCACTGTGCCAGTCTTTCAAGTCTCCCGCTTTCATCATATTCCAGCTGAAATATGGCTACAAAATATCAATCGAGGGCCTTGGACTCCCGTCTGTCGCTCGAGATGCTCGAGATGACCAGATCAACAAGGACAAGCCGATCATCTTGTGAAGACACTCCCTGATTCTAGGCAGCGCAGATGCAACCCTTCCGGACAGAAATCCGCAAATATGCCGGCTCCTCATTCGCGATCGTGTTCGAGCTTCTAAGACGGTTTCTGTCCCGACAACAAGTGTGAGGGCCTCCGGCATTTTGCCGATGGGCGGATCTCCTCTGAGGATGGTGCGGTAAGATTGAAGGCCGCGATGTCGCGACTGATGGAAGTCTCGTATGTATATCTATCCTAGCATGTAACACGTCATATTCCGACCCTACTACTCGGCCCTTAACAAGTTCAGGTCCTAGATGGGTATCGTATTCTTTGGAATGAATGAAATGGCTGTCCAGAAACGATATCAAGACGTTCGCATGCTGGTGGGGAGTCGGGTCCAAGATCTCTGTTCGAGTCTTTTACAAAGAGCAGCAGTAATCGGGAAGCGCCTTACATGGGCTTCTTGACATACTCATCTTAAGTTTCGTGTAGAAATCAGAAGAAAAAAAAGAAAAGGGAGTCGTCTCCCGGTTCGAACAGACGCGTCGGGCAAAAAAAATGTTTAGCTTCTCTTTGATTGAGCGTGTCATCCTTGTGCAGGGACCATGCTAATCTTCTCTGTATTTTTGCAAATTGACCAAATGCCCGAAGGCGAAAGGTACTGTCTTGGACTGGTATATAAGGCCTGGTTCTTTGAGATTGCGGTGGCGCTGGGATGGTGGTGGTGGTGGTGAAGCCGGGGTGGGTGGCAAGGTTGAGGTTGGGAGCTCCAATGTCCAGTCAGGCTGAAAGTGGAGGTGGAGCTTCTACATAACTACTACCATGGATCTTTGTACAGCCACTGTGCGAGCTTCTGTACACTACACTACTACAAAGTAATCAAGGGTAATCAGGACATCCAGGCTAAGAGAAAACGCGAAATTTGCAGCAAAGAAGTGTTGATATGCCCCGCGAGAGCGGCCCGTCGATGTCTTTGGTATCATCTATTAACCACTAAGAGAGACGAGTGAGCTCGGGGTCGGGTTCCCGAGTATCGAAAGAAGCACGCACGGACTTGTTACCCGAGGCTGCCTTTCATAAGCTCTCCCTTGCCCAGGTCACCCAAACCAAGATCCCAAGGTACCTTCACTTCGAGCAATTGATGGATAGAAAACAAAAGGGAAGCCCTAGAAGAATATATTCAATGCTTGATTTTGTCTTTAATGCCATAAGACGAGGTTCTCGTATCTAATTGCTATATCTTGCCCACGCTTCCAGCCGCTGACGTTTGACATGCCAATGCGAAATATCACGTGACCCAATTGAACCAACCGAGGAGCGGGAAATCCAATCAGGCCACTGACTTTCGGAAAATACCTCCCAAAGCTTCACCCGTTTCCCATCGCGATACCCCCCTCCCTTCCCCCTCGGACCCCCAACGCAGAATACTCGCCAGACTCTCCGCTCCGAAATAATATCAATTCCACCCGCCATGTTCGTCCAGAGGACCGCCGCCGTTGTCGCGCGCCGCGCCGCGTTCGCCGCGCCCGCCGTTGCCCGCAGGGCCTTCAGCACCTCCATGCTCCGTCGTACGATTTCTACCCTCCGACTGCCCGACTCCCCGACGTCCCGACACGTCTCGATTTTCGACCTGGGCTGGATTTTACTAACTGGAAGATGTAGTTGAGGCCAAGACCGAGGACAAGAAGGTCGAGTCGTTCAAGACGCTGAGCCGTAAGCTTTTTACCATCTTCTGGGGGAGGCAGGAGGACTGAAGATATGACGGAGAAAGGGAGAACTCTGACTGACTTTTCGGCGGGGGAATATAGAGATCAGGACCGTCGACGACCTTTTCGGCCCCGGCGCCCAGGACGGCACCACCCCCACCGATATCGACCAGTCGACCGGTATCGAGCGTCTTGAGATCCTCGGCAAGCTCGAGGGCAAGGACATCTTCGACATGACCCCCCTGGACTCGTCGCGGAAGGGTACGCGCCATATCCCATGTCCCCACCATGTTGCCCCGGATTATTACGAGGCCGGAGGGGACGAGAGAAGCTGATTTGCTGGTTGTTTAGGTACCATGGAGAACCCCATTATCGTGAAGTCGGGTGGTGACGAGCAGTACGCTGGTTGCACCGGCTCTCCCGCCGACTCCCACGTCGTTCTCTGGCTCGGCGTACGTCAACCCCTTCCCCCCCTGGTGATAATGCCGATGTCCTCTCACCCAGACCCCGGTCCCCGTGCTGACAAAACTTTTTTTTCCAGATGTCCCGCGAGCGCCCTATCGAGAGGTGCCCCGAGTGCGGCAGCGTTTACAAGATGGAGTACATCGGCCCCGAGGACCACGGCCACGACCACCACCACCACGACGGCCCCGAGGAGCCCAAGACGATGGCCGACTACATCAAGCCCGAGTACCGCTACATCTAAGGGATGGTTAATGGGTGCTAATGTTGGATTTGGGCGCGGCGATATAGAGTTGCAGGGTGGGAGTGGTGAAGCATATTTACCTGTAGATTACCGAGAGTGACAAAAACATAGACTGCTTTTAGCAGAGGGCTGACCATCTAAACGGCGATGTGAGATTTGGGGTTTGGTTATTGACGAACATTACGTTGGTCCCCACCAGGGTACCACACAGAAGACCTTCTTACAGGGAGGGATAAGGGTCGATAGGGAAGGCAGGAAACAGGACTGGGCTAGTGGTAGGTTCTTCCACCCTCCAAGCCACCCTCCAAGAGACTTTCAACGTAGATTCGGGGACAAGGGGGAAAGGGGGGGAGGGGGGCTTCTATGACGGGAAGGTTGATGTTAACGATTGTATTACGGGCCATCATCATCGAAACTCAGCTTTATCTTCTTCGCCTTCTTCTTCGCCTTGGGCGCCGGTTTCGAATCCGCCGCATCACCGACGGCCTTGTCCTTCACCGCAGTCCCCTTCCTCGCGTCGCCATCGCCGCCCTTCTCCCCCTCCTGCTCATCCTCCTGCCCCGCACCTATGACCCTCGCCTTCCTCTTCCTCCCAATCGCGACCGCCGCCTTCACCTCGGCTCCCTTCTCCCCGCCGCCGTCCTCAACACCACCCCTCTCCCCTTCCGCTTCCCCGCCGTCCTCGTACCTCACCGTCCCGTCCCCGTCAACCGTAGCAGCAACCACGTTCCCCCCGGCGTCCACTACCAGCGGCGCATCCTCCGCCTCGGCGCTCCCGCTCCTCTTGGCGCCGTGGCGCCGGTTCGCGCCCAGGAGCGGGTTCGGCGACGACGACGTGGTGGCGTTCTGGGACTTCAAGCGCGCGAGGAACGGCGGGAGCCTATCGTCGTAGGAGAGGTTTTTTGCGTTGAACTTTTGGGACATTGTGCCGGCAGGCGGGGGTATGGGGGTTTCGCGGGAGATCCGCCCTTTGGCTGGCTGCGTAAGTACTCGTATATGAGTGTTGTACAAGCACTTGTATTGGAGGGGGCAGTCGTTGAGATGGTGATAGCCCGAAATGGGTAAGCTCAGATGATGTTGATGACCTTTGGTGTTCGTGATTATGTCATCAGTGAGGTGATGGGTGAGAGGTACGAGTACTCGTACAAGTACCGTATCAAGTTAAGGCGGCCTTCTGTATTTGGTCCGGCGTTGATCCGGGGAGGACTAAGACATTTGGTACTCCCGGATATTCAACACGGGGAAAAAAGAGAGAAGTCCGTACGCTTGTGCCCAGTTGTCTACCGTCGATGATCCCGCGATGCGAAACGGTGGTGGTGTTTCGGTGTGCTCGCAAAAAAGCTAATATAACAAGCACCCATGTTCCTCACAGCTTCCATGCATAGTGCATAATGCTCACATACGAGCATCACTGAGTGCACTGTCACATCGACGCACCAGCGAGATACATAATTACCAATTCTTGAATTGCGCCAAACTTCACGCGTTCTATTGGCTGCGTAGAAGGTTGTCAGCAAATTGGGCAGAGCTCGCTCGGACAAAATGGTAGCGCCCCG